TAATAATGTAAGAGGGAAACCTGCGAAAAAACTGCCAGGTCAAGAGCCAAAGTCCCACTCCGTTGTCTATGATAGGTGGAGGGCACTCGGAAGTAGCCCATGAGATGGTAGCAAGTGCCAACAATAACCGCTTACTGCCGCTAACGACCTTCAGCACCAAAGAAGCGTAGACAGTAAATAAATTCCCATAGAATTAAATCTGACACATGAACATTAGTGTTTTTTTTTATGATTGTAGCTCCCACGAAAGCATAGCTAATCAGATCCATAATTTATGCGAAGCATAAATTGGATAAGAGAGCTGCCGTTTTTTCAAACGAATTATGTCAGACTTGTGCTTTTTTGAGAAACTAGTAGTATTAGTTTCAATGCGCTCGATTCATTCGCAACCATTTTTGAGAAACTTTTGTGAAAATGTTTGAACACAATGTGCCAAACATTTCTTATTATTTTTCTATTTCAAATTTATTCGGTCTGTGTATACAGCTAAGGGATGAAACACAGACTGTGTCATAAAATGTCTTCAAACACGTGACATTCAAGTGAAATCCTTCTACTCTTCTATTTCTTACCAATTTACTACTAGTTAAAAAATGTCAAAAAATAGAAGGACGACAATAACAATAAAAATAATAATAATAACAATAAAGTGAATCGAGTTTTAATTTTCTTATCAAGCAGCTCGTTAAAGCAAAAAATCAATTGCCAGCCTTACCAAGAACTACAATTGCTAGATTGCTGTTGCGAAACTAATAGTTTTTGAAAACAGCCGTTTATTAATGTCATTTAACATATTAACAAGCAAATGATCAAATTCGCTCGAAATTTTGTTTTTTTTTTATAGAACAAAGCGAGACAACATTAGCCACCAATGGTGACTGCCGATTTATCCACGAGCAATGAAAAAACAGGTAAAATTTTGTACTTTTCCCCTTAATTCAGAAAATTGGTGCGAGATAGCTGAAAGAGCAGTACTAAACAATATTTGACTAGTGCTACTCATTAAGTGGAATTAAAAGAATCATTCAGTCATTTCTTAGTTACATGCGGAAGATAATAATGTTGCCCTGATTGTCTCAACATTTGAATCTATCTGCATCGGGAGCTGGCAATTTTTCCATCGCTTTGACAAACGCTGCATTTACTGCTGATAATCTTGCAAATGATTCCATCGTCTGCCTTGTAGGGGATTACTGGCTCAACCATTCTCCCAGCAGAAGCATTTGGCAAGGCTTAACCATTATCGTCTTGTCTCAAATGTTATCACTACTATACCACAATGAGGTGCCCCATCCGCTAGGAGATGATTTCCCGTCTTGCGTTTTACGTCGGCTGAGGTGAGTTAATGATAAATTCGGCCGTCAAAAAAGTATTAGGAAACTTAAGGAAAAAAGTTCCTTCCAAAATGCAACTTTCAGTTCCAAATAAACGTGCACGGCTCTAGACCTGCTTACTAAGTCGTTTGAGAAAGACTAAATTTCAGTAGTACTGGTAACAGGCGCTTCCGGTTACATTGCCTTACACTGCGTTAAACAACTCCTTGAAGATGGTTATACAGTTCGCGGCACTGTACGAAACTTGCAAAACTCGGCGAAGGTTAGCTAGCTGTTTTTGGGCGAGTTCGATAAGTTGTTTAGACTTTATGCTGTAACGAAACTCAGACAACACCATAAAATGTTTCGGTTTATGCGATGTTGAGGCTGAGAAATATGCTAATAGTGCAAGAAACGCCAAACCGAACGTAGTTACTTGATTCTATTTGTTATTCCCTGCAAGGACATACAGGTACACACACACACACACACACAACACACATGAGTAAACAAGTGCACGCATGCAAACACGCACAAACATGCACACGTACATATATAGTCGCAGATAAATGTTATTTAAAATTTAACTATTTATTAAATTAACACAAAAAATGATGCTATTTTTTGTCGAATACAGTCCAACTAAGTACCCATTTTCTCGAAATTAATACATTCCGTTGCAGGTAAGTCCACTTCGTGATATGAAGTACAGCGCAGAAAGGCTAGAACTGGTAGAAGCTGATCTCGAATGTGCAGAGCATTGGCATAGGTATGAAATTATTAATTTTACTTCCTTGAATTTCTCTTCTCTTAGATATAAACAGCGACAACAGTCTGGTGCAGATAGCAAAGTTATGAATTTTGAGTTTTATTATCTCGCTACAGTACTGTAAGACAGTGAAATAAAAGAGCGAGCAATTTGCTTCAGTACTAAGCACACAAAATACATTCTGCTGATTTCTGTCCACGTCAATTATCCGAGTAGTCTTGGTAATCCTGGTAGCACTCAGCTGAATTTTTTCGCAATTTCTGACTGTCCAGAAGCTGTTCAGGAATGTCGCAGTGCACGCTTCTGTGCGTCTGCTCTTTGAATCAGTTTATTTGCGTTTCAGTGCGGTCGACGGATGCACGTACATTTTGCATATAGCATCACCATGGCCAATTGTAGCTGATGAAACAACCATTGCAGTTGCAACAAATGGTACCCTAAATGTTCTAAGAGCAGCGGCCGAATGTAGGACAGTCCGAAAAATCGTACTAACCAGCAGCTGTGCAGCTGTCAACGGTAATCAAACAATCAAAATTTAAGTGATTACAGGAAAAAACAAACTCTACCTACGCTAAGCTGTACTGTAGTTAGTGTTATGGCCACACATTCATACTTTCCCTGCTTGTTAATCACAAGTACGCCGCCTACTTGAACTTGCAAAAATTGGAACACCGCCTGTACTATTTCTTTTCGATTTATGTCATCAAGTATGGAATTTACGTAACCTTTTGCTATTTTCGCAATTAAGAATGCACACTGCAAAAACATGTTTTTTGTGCAATTTCTTGTGCACGTTGAGAAGGCTGAAATTTTGGGAGTATCAATCGATACGGTCATCCTAAAATAGTTAAAAACCTTTTGCGTCCACTTTTACACCCCATCGTCAACTCTGCGATAGGCCCTCATCTTTGAAAATTTATATGCGCCCATGTTCTGTTTCACATATTAGTGAGATATATGTGTTAATGTTTTTCTGTTTTTATATTTCTTTTGACCAAATTTGCTACAAATATTTTAATGTTACTTTTTATGCTTTGAAACTTACTCCCCTTATGGCAAAGCTAACAGAAGAATGACCGATAAGGATCATCAGCGAGGTGTTCGCCGGGCGAAACACTGCTGGTCAGTGTAAATAAAAAAATTTGCCTGCTGCGTAAATGGGAAACGACGCTGGTAGATGATCCAAGAATTCTAAACATTTATTCATTTATGGAACAAGTTATATGTATTACGTATATGTGTTGCATATGTATTCATTTATGGTACAAGTTTACATTCCATGCAAATAATTATGCAAAAAAAGCACATAATTTTGCTTACTAACTCTTCCTCTGTTTATTATTAGGCAGTCGCAAAAGGCCATCGTTATAAATGCCAGAGGTGTTATAAAGAAGCGTTTTTTAAGAACCCTACCTGGTTTTTTGACCGAATTGAACTGCCCACTTTCGACAAAAATTTGTGTGTTACAGATGGCCATAAAAATGGTGCGCGTGTATTTGACGAAGAGTGTTGGGCGAATTTGGAAAGTAAACGGATGGAAAATTACGGCCGCTCCAAAGCAATTGCCGAAAAAGCAGCGTGGAATTATTGGAATACTTTACCAGGTTCACCCATTTTTCAGTGGATGATTAATTCTTTACGGATATGGCGGCAATGATTTTCGAAGCTCACGTGCAACAATCCAGAAATAGAAAGCGGATTACGAATAGTTTCTCAGCTTCTTCCTTAATTTACTTTTCCGGCTTTTTCGAGGGCGGCCTCACCCACAACATTTAGATTGAGGACAAACGTAAAATTAATGAGGGAAACGCTCAACAACCCATTTCTTCTTTCACTGTTTTACAAAATTAAAGACAAATCAGTGAAAAGCAAGCTTTCCCGGATGTATTACTTCTTTAATAAGATAGCCTCGTTTAACTACTTGATTAGAATGGCGTCTTATCCTCCTAAGTCGGCCTTATCCAAAACTTACGCTTTTTTTCATAGGTTAGCAATCTGTGCAAATTTTGGCCAGTTGGTGCTCTTCTTCTGGCCAGGCTTTATCTCTCTACTCTCTTCGGTCTTAGTCCTTAACTGCGGCGATGGTAAAGATAAGTTGGTAAAGATAAAATAAAACTGCTGCGAAGCTTGAAACAAATCGCAAAGGCGTTTTCATTTTTTATCGTTTAAGCCAATATAACTGTATTATCGGACTGGCAGTTATTGTTGTTTAGCTTTGCATGCATTTTTTGTTTTTTTATTATTCCAGAAGCTTCAAGGTTTCAATTAACAGTGCTGAACCCAACATTTGTTACTGGCCCAGTGCTTTCCGACCAAGACCATGGGAGTGCAACGGTATGCATTTATTGTAAAAGTTTATTTTCAGTTCTACTGTTATGGCACATTAAAGCGATTTCAAATGTGCGCTTGTCTACCTAGACAGTTATTTTATTTTTCTCTTCCCGTAATTGAAAAGCAAAGGAAGCTAAAAATTTGCGAATGTTCTTGCCATCGAATACAAGGCATATCCTGCCCTAACCTGTTGTCTCTACCTCAAATTCAAAAAAATATTAAAATTCATGATCCAGCTGAAATGCCGGATTGAAATTTCTAAAAAAAACTCCTATCTAGTACGCAGGACTAAATTGGCTCACTTCTGACATCAGATCCAAGCTGTAGTAAGCCTTAATGATCAGGTCTGCTGGTGTGGTCATGAGTTTTTGCGTTAATTTTTAAGCAGCCGGTAGTTAACCGTACATACGTTTATTTCTCTACATTTAGTTTGTGGCATATTTTTGTAAATCACTGCAAATTTTGCATAAAGGAAAATGAACAGCTTTTTGAACAGTCATTCATTAAAAGTGAGCCAACTGCTATAGTTTTCAAGTTCTTTTCGGGCAAAAACTTTACGTGTCTATGTGTGGAAACCAACCGTACCTAGGAACGGAATTTGAAATCTTCAAATCGCTACGGCCAGAGAACATTTACCCAAAATTTCAGCTTCCACCTCGCCCAATTCTCGAGATAGCAAGTTTCTTGCCATAAATTCCATGTATCCGCACACGAGAACCGCGCCTATCCGGAGGTTAAATTCGAAATCTTTAAGTTATTTGTCGGCACAGAGTACCCCCTTAAAATCTCAGCTTTCTAGCTTT